TCTAATAAATTATAAAAGTTATAATAATAAAAGTTATTTAATTTTAAATTTCTACAACTTTTTATTAAGATAATAAGAGTTAAATCTTAAATTTTTATTAAGTAAAATTAAAAAAAAAGAAAAAATTTTTTAAAATTAAAAATTTTTTAAAAAATTATAAATTTTTTGCTTCTAAGTAATTTTAATATTTTTATAAATATTAAAAAGATAAAAATAATTTTTAAATATTATATAATTATAATTTTTATTTTAAAAAAAAAATTTTTAATATTTTTATTTTAATTTATAAAATTTAAGCAAACAAATTTGTCTGCTTAAATAGACGGTTTAAAGGATAGTTGATCTATAGTGTATTGAGAATTTTGAGTTTGCAAATAGCCTGTTCTAGTGGTGGACAAGAATTGTTAGTGTGTAATTGGTCTGGTTGACTATACTAACATGAGTAAGTATAAGCTTTGCAAGTTTGTTTTGAGATTCTGTTGCTAGATTGTTGTAGTTGAGGTTGGTTATAAAGTAAGTAATTTTATTTTGCTTCTTCCAATTTGAAAAATTGCAACAGTATAGTTTCCATAGTTGTTCATAAATAAGCTTGTTAATTCAAAGTAAAATTTTGATAATAGTTTAAGATGCCAGTTTATATGAAAGATCGAACTTTTGGATAGTTTAGACTAAAATATAGAAATAAAGCCTTTAAGTGTGATATCTAAGAAGAGCTCATGAGGTCTAAGTTGCCTGTTATTCAAGGCTATGTGATTTTGAATTATATCAATAAGTTCACAAGTTTGGTCACTAGATAAGTCTAGTGCTGAATTGAGAATAATTTTAGAAATAGAATTAGTAATAATATTAAAAAGGATATAGAGTTAGGACAAACTCTTCAGTATGAAATAGAATCTAAACTATTGCAAGAAAAACAGTTAGAATTATTAAAAGTAGTGAGGTATCTAGTATAGTAAAAGTATGAAGTAGATAATTCATTAAGTAAGGTTTTAATTTTAAAAGATTGATTTGATTAAGTTTAAAGTTAGTGTAATTATAGGTGTGATTTGGTTATAGTTAAAATATAACTAGATAGAATTCTAGTCAATTTGTTGAATAAAGAGTGACTATTTGATATTATGGTTTTGTGATAACTATAGTACAAGAATATGTGATTTGCAAATATTTTTAATAAAATATCTTGTAGGTGATTCAACTGGATATTGCTTCTACTATATAATATGATAAGGCTTATGAATATTAGTATATATAAAATCTAGCAGAGGTGACAGTATAAGTTGTTTTACAAGTGTATCAGCTAAATTATTATACTAGTCATCAGTATGTGCTTGAACTTTATAAAAGTTGATTTGAAGATTTTGTGATTTAGAAATATTAAATAATATATACTATAAAGACCAGAAACTAAATTTAAAGAGTTTGTTAGAATTGTGGGAGTTAATAAGATTTATATATTTAGAAATAACAGATTGTAAATTAGTAAAAATATTGATAGTTGAGTTGCATGGGATAGTAGAAATTGCAGATAAGATAGAAAAAAGTTCTGCTTTGTAGGAGGATGGCTACAAGTAGATTATTGCTAAAAATATATATATAATATTATTATTAAAATTCAGCTAGACCCAATCTATACCCATTGTATATTGGTTAGTACTAATATTAATTACAGATCTATTTGTATAAAAGTTGAATTGAGATTGTGTGGAATTAGTAACTGAAAATTGTTTAAGCTTGGATATAGATTCTCTAGTCTCAAAGATTTGGGGTGTGGTAGAATAGTTAATAGGAATTAAACATAGTATTGAGATTTAAATAGAATGTTTAACTACTGTAGAGTAGATGAGATCCATGTAGTTAGCATAAAAGTTAAAATTGTTAAAAAAGATCCTTTCAAAAAATTGTGTAAAAATAATGGATAAGATATTAATAGTACAATGATTGCTAATTCTATTGGAATTTAGATTGCATTCTATATATAATTAGCTTTAAACAGGTTGAAGAGAGTAGAGTTAATAATAACTAGTATCAATATCAGTTTCTAATGAGTAATAGAGATTAGATTATTAGGAAAGTATTTCGAATTTTACTAACAATGATATTATTGTTGTTATAACTAAGTAGCCAGAGTTGTAATTTTTTAAAAATATCTGTATTGTATGTGAAAGTGTTGATATCTGATTATTGGTATTGAGGTAGCAAAATATGGTAATAGTCATGAGATATTACTTTATTCTCTAGGTATATATACTAACTTGGTTGCTTGCCTTTAGGTAGATGAAGCAATCTGAATAAAAGATGTTTCTATTCTAAGAGAACAGAATTATTAGCTGATTATAGTTATTCTAAATAGAGCAAGTTTAAATATCTGAGTTGTTTTTTAATAAGATTGCATTTGGAGTGTTGTTGTAAAATCCTTTCTAGGAGTTGTAAGTTGTGTTGGAAAGTATAGGGCCATTAAAAATTGAAGTTAACTATAAATCTAAGTGAATAAGAAGTTGAATAATATAAAAGTTGAAAGTATATTTGTTTGGCCTATCTATAGTTGGTTGTAGGTATTGGAGTATATTAATAGTTGATCACAGGTTATTCTGCAGTTACTGTACTTAGATGTAAGTAGATATATCTAGTAAGTATAGCTTATTAATTTGTTGTAAAAAGTTAGTAACATTGACAGTGTTGATGATATAGGCTATTTGCTTATCAGTAATCTTTTTAGAACTAGTGATATTGATTAGTTGAAATGCTTCATCTTTTATAAGTTGGGTTTGTTGAGATTGTTTATTATCGAGAGTATACCAGCAGTCTAGGAACTTAAATATTTGGTTACAAGGTATCAAATTTAGTAGAGAGTTGCAAAATAAAATGGAGTTTGTAGATTGATTACAAATAAATACTGATTTGATAAGATTAATTTAAATATTTGCTATTTGATAAATGATATTGTAGTTTGGATAATAAGTTAAAGTTCTTTTTTGAATTAGGCAATCCAGAGTATATCGTCTATATATGCAAGTACCAAACAGAAGTTTGGATTTCTTGATATCATAGAGGGTCAAACTAGTTTGCTATGAGGCAACTAGTGTATAGCCTGTAAAATAGATTGCGATTCTACTAATACAAGGATCATAATAGCAAAACAGAGGTTATAGTTTTCTCTTGATCAATCCTATTGTTAACAAAGTATGAGTTTGTAAGACCAAGATTTGTGATAACTCTATTGTGGCAATCAGTTAATAGATTGGTAAATATGTGTATAAGTTTAAAAAGCATATTAATATATATAAGGGATCTATTAAATAACTCTAAGTTATATATTTTAATATAATAATATAATAATAATAAACTAAAATCTTATACCTTAGAGTTCAAAATATATTTTTTTCAGGATGAATTGAATAATACTGATTATCTTTGCTATATATTACTTGTATCATAGTATCTAAAGTTCTTGAAATTATTATTATTAAATTAGTATTATTCAAGTTATCTTTTTATTTTAAGTATTTTCACATAGACTTTTTAAGAAAACTGGTAAATAAACTTTAGCAAACTTATTAGCCTATGTTTGTGATAATTATTAATATACATAAAATAAAAGTAATTATATATTTATATATTACAAAATTAAGCTCTAGTTTTTTAATGATAGACTTGAGAAAAATTAATATATACTTCTAAAAGGTTTCTCTCTGTGTTTTCAAAACTTATCAAATTTTTTTGTTTTAGAATTCTTTGCTTTTAAGATTAGAAGACATCTAATAAATGCTTTGAATTCAGATTTATTTTTTTGATAGTCTGAAATATTTTCAAATAATAAAAACAAGAGATGCTTAAAAGATTTTATATGTGATCTAAAGTTGTTGCATCTGAATAAAGAATAATTGATAACAAATATTGTTCAAGAAGTGATTTTGATTTTTCTTTTTTTACCAATTATCCTAGTATTATTCTCTGAAAATTCTATACTCAACATTGTTTCTTATTTCTCTTTTATCTTTATAGGTAAGAACCAATAACTGATTAATATTATTGATTATTAATAAAAATTTAATAGTCTTAATTAATAACTGATAGTAAAATATAGAATCAATATTTTCAAACTTTTTTATAAGAATATCTTTAAACATTATATAAAGAGAAGTAAATTTATTAAGAAATTTCTTTATAGCTTTTGTTGCTAGTAGAAATAGCAAAATGTTTAAATTAGCAAATTTATTAAAGAAGGTTATAATAGAATCACCAGCCAGTAATAGTAAATGACCTGATCATTTGCCTATTTTTCTAATGACTTCAAAATAATTGGTCATTATTGGTCATTCAAATTTTAGGTTATTTGAAAATAACTCATGACCAAATGATTACGGTTATTTAGAAATAACTGTGGTTATTTGAGTCATTAGTCATTTTGCATATAGAATTAACATCCTATTAATCATGAAAACTTGTATAATACTTCTCAAGTTTCGATCATATAATATTTCCTTGCAAATTAAAATTAGAATAAATCTAGATCTCACACCTCATTTGATACTCTAATATCTTACAAGTCACATGCAATAATTTTATTAGACGATATATATTAATTAATTTAAAAAATAAAATCAAAGTTTTTATTTTAAAAAAATAAATAAAAAAAAATAAACAAAATAAAATAAAAAATTTTAATTTATATCGAAAATTGCAATTAATATATATGTTATAAGCGGAAGCAGAACTTAAGTGAATTCAAAATTTTATATAAAACTCTATTTTTTAAGTTGATTTAACTATATATACACCTGTATCTTAACCCTAATTTAACTAGGAAATTCTGAATCTACTTGAATTTCGTTTTCTCTTACAATATATACATCAAGATAGAAGAAATAACAATAATAATTTTAACAAGTGTCAGCATCATTAGTCAAATTCGTGATATGTAGCATTAGCTAGTAGTCTCTACATTGAATAGACTGACCTTGATAAAAAGTTTGAGTATATATCTTGCTTCTACAAGATAGCTACACTTCTTTAGTCTGTTGACTTATATCAACTAGAATTTGAAAAGAAAAAAAAATTTGCAAAGAATTTTCAGAATAACAACCTACTCACCAATATACTTAACAGCAGTAATATTAATAACCTAGTTACTAAGACCTGGCTACCAGTACCAACAACAACCTAATCACAATTTAATTACTATACTAATAACAATACTTCAATGGGAACCAAATGTATAAACAACAAATAATCAAAACTTGATAAAAGAACAAAATATAGCAACATGACTATGACTTAATTACTTACCAAAAAAACTTAAACACCAGCACCAACCTAATCAATCTCTATAATGACGTAGCAGTAATTATCAGCATCTACAAATGACATGACTACTATAGTTAATGCAGTCTAGGAATATACCAAATTAGGAAGTTGTATTCTAGAATGATCTACAGGCCAATTCTCATATCTGATTGGCTTTCATGCATGACTATTTCTGTACTGAAACATTTTACAAAAAAAATTTTTTTAATAATTCTTAGTTGTTAGAAAGTTTTTGAATAGTTAGTTTAGAACTCTAGCTTTGATAATCTCAAATAATCTCATATAAGAAGCCTTCTTTATTAAAGTAGATGAGAGCTAAAAAATGGTGCTTGCTTTAATGTAATATAAGCTAAGACCATCATCTTTGTATTAATTCAGCACTTAAGAAGCAGTTCTTTGTCGTCATGTTAAATTTAAGATATATGAATCATTTGCTAAATTTATACAATACAATTTCTCAAGACTAGTCTACGAACAATGGTAGTATACATATATGGTTGTATTTGACATTAGCCTCTTTTAAAAAATTTGCAATTTTATTTCAAAGAGAAGTTTATAATATTAAAAATTTACAAGCATATTGCATTAGTTTTTCATAACTTAGATTAAAAATGAAGGCATCATTTAGTATACAGTCTTAAATTAGAGAAAAGATATTAGTAAAGGTATATACTTAGCTGATCAATCCAAGGGTGCTCTCAAGTGTTTTTTATAATGCGTTTGATATGGTTACAATTGTGATTATTGGCATTTCAATTCTATAGGTCAAAATGAGTTAAAATTATACTAGAATTAGTATTAACTAGTAGGAAGTATATACATCATAGAAACTATTTCAGCATTAATTTTTGATATGAAACCATTGAGATACTTCAGTGGTTTCATATAAAAAATCAATGCTAAAATAGTTTCTATGACATAGCGAAAAGTATAATATTTATTTATTACTAATTAAATGTGCTTATTGTTGAATCTTATAGAGGTATAAAACATATAGTTCAAAAACTTTTTCTTTAATTTTTTTTTTTTTTGCTCTAGTTTATCGTTGACACTAATATATAATTACTATTATGATTTTTTATAAAAAAAAATCAATATAGTAATACTATATAATCAGTTATAATTTTTAATTCTAACGCTAACACCTGATCAGTATGGTACAAATTTTAAAAAATCAGCTTGTATCGTACTGTTTTGCTTACCCATATCATATTAATCTGCGTAATATCTAAATTAATTATTTATATATATTATTTTAATTTGTATATAAAACAAATAAGCAAAATAAATAAAGTTATACATACTTTCTGACAAAGTCTATGTTTATAATTTAATTTTCTGCTTCGATCCTTTTTTTTTGTTTTTTATTTATTTTATATTTATTTAATTTTATATATTTTAGTATTTTTTATTTTTCGCATAAGGTCATATAAACTTAATAAATTGTTTTTATAACACAGCCAGGTCAAATTCTGCTAAAATACTATATTCATTATCTGGCTAGGCTTTTTTAGATGTCTATAAAAAATTTTCTATGTTTTTTATATATAAATAAAATTAAAAGCTGGGTATTTTTAAAATTTTGTTATTTGTATGGCCTAATCATTATTATTTCATAATTGTTATTTAATTGGCTAATATTTTGTGTAACTGAGGTTAATTTGTAGTCTAGAATTTTCTGATTGATGTTCATATACCATATAAGGTGTGATCTACATTGTCCTAATTTGGTATATTCCTGGACTATAATGCAGAAATAAAAGAAAAAAGATTTTAAAAAAAATATAAATATGATATATATATATATATTCTGATTGGTCAGTGATATATAATTGTATCATGAGATGCGAAATTACATAATTTCAAATGACCATAACAGGTCATCAGGTTTTTGAAGTCATCCAATAACTAGTTACTAGTTATTTAAGTCATTCAGGTCATTTCAAGTAATTTACCATCACTGTCACCAGCTAAATTTAAAAGTTGATGCTTATTAACTATCTCTATAAATTTATGATAAATATTATTAGACTATTCAATATTTTGTGAATAATACAAGTTATCAAAAGTATCATTAAATGAAGTATCTTTATAATCTTTAAAATTATCAAAAATATTTATTTACAATATATCTCTATAGTCTTCAAGATTACTTTTATTAGATATATTTTGAGATATTTTATTTTTAATCAGTATATTATTAATTAAAAGAAACTCTACTTCTATATAAGAAGACTTATTTAGAATTAATTCAGATGAGATTGATATATTTTCACTCTATATAAAAAATTATTATTTTATATTATTTTATAACTAATTAAAATATATAATCAATTTATCTTATTTTTTGTAGCAGAATTATAACTAGAACTATATTCTAAAAGATTTTAAATATTATTATTATTATCTAAATATTCAGTAGAGCAACAATATTTGTTGAATTATAAAGATAAAAATATTTTTATAAAATATATTGTACTAATCTAAATAATTTCAAAATTTCTTGATTACAATGTTTATACTGCTAGTGTATTTTTAAAAAAAGCAAAAAAAACAGAAAAAAAATAAAAAACTAAAAAAGAAAACTAGAAGCAAAAAAAAAGCAAAAAAAAATAAAAAAGATAAAAATAAAAAAAATAGATATAAATATAAAAGATAAAATAGATCAAATATAAAAGATAGAATAGGATAGATTTATTAAATATGAAAGATAGAATATAGTAAGAGTATCTAAAAAAATCAAAAAAAGAATAATTATAAAAAATAATATAAAAAATATATATAGTTTATTATCAATACTTATTAATTTATAGTTTTTTTTATCAAAAACTTGAATCTTCTTTAGTATAGGTGGGCATATATAAATTAGTACAAAAATATAATATATAAAACTTAATTAATTTGAGCCAATTTAATTCAAATTTAACTCTGACCCTAATAATTTATAAAATTACTTAAATTTGTTTAATACAGTTAATTTATATATTATAATTGTATAATAATTATATATGTTTATCTATACTAAAAATTAACCAAAAAGAAATAAAACTTTTTAACATGACTCTTTTTGCTAATTATCAAAACACAAACTTCTAAAAATAAAAATTAATAAAAACTATGAGAAATACACAAAGGCTACTAAGAAACCAAACTTGGAGCTCTAAATAAAAAGAAAAAGAATGACAAAATATACTTAGTCTTTTAAGAGACTTGAGTAGCAAGAACAAAAGCAACAAAGAAATAGAAGAAGTTGTAAAAAATCATAAATATTTTTTTTGTATTTTGTGAATTTTTAGAGATTGGCCTTGACCCTGACTCACAGATTTGTTTTAGTGATATAAAAATCACAACACACAATAAAAAATAAACAAAGAAAATATGCCAAAAACTATATAATAAAGATAAATAATGATAATAAATAATTGCAACAAACAATAACAAAAAACAACAATAATAAAAAAACAACAAGTTATATAAAGCAAAAATTAACAAAATTGTCTAGAAAAAGACCTGTTATAGTAGAAAAAGCAAAGGTAAAACTAGAAGCTCTTTGAGAGAAACTAGAACAGTATAGACAAGATTATATTAACTATACAGAACAAAAACTTAGAAAAAGAAACAAAAAAATTTTAGATAGCAATAAATAAAAAAATATCTCTAGATGAGTTTATTATAAAAGAAGAAATACTTAGTATTATAGATAAGTTTGATATAACAATTGAAGCAGACTTAAGAGATAGACCAAGATATGAAATGATCACAAAAATTTATAGTAAAAAAATACAAAAGAAGCTAAGATACAAGCAGAAAACTATATAAAACAATAAGCATAACTAGGACTTCTATGGACTGCAGTGTTGTTACAGAACAATTGTGAATAGTAAGTTTGAAAACTTTGAACAATTTTAAATAATTAAATAAATTAAAATTACTTAAAATTTTATTAAGATAATTTATATTCAGAATACAGACAACAGACAAAACTCTTCTCAACAATCATCTAGTCAACAAAAATCAAGAAACCAAACTACAATTAGCACTATAGAAGATGCTAAGGTAAATAATAAACTTGGTTCTACAGAAGTAGATATATTGTCAATAAAGTACCAAGAGTGTAAAACTGAGGTACAGTTTACTTTGGACTAGTTTTGGTAGAAGTTAAACTTCTTGCTAGCAGACTCCTTTATTTTTATTTGCATTTAAACCAGAAGGATATTTTAAAATCACAGAATGTTTAGGATGACATAAGAGTATCTATATAACTGTAAAACTTACAAAGAACAACTACAGAAAAATTTTATTAACTCATCACTTTTTTTGAGAAAATTTTGTTAAAAAGTAGGTGTCTTAGTTTATTCCCTCCAAAAAATCAATATATAATTTTACCAAAACAGTTAATATTATTTACCTATTTACATATATAAATAGAACTTCTAAAACAGGATATCAAACAAATATCCAGAATAAGTGACCAAATATAGGTTATATAACAATACAATGGTAAATGTATTTCAACCAGAAAAACTATTCAAACAATACTTCAAGACTTTCTTATTTTGGGCTACTCTGTCTTGTTTAGCTGATGTGGTTTTTATATATTTTACACTTGCACATATATTATTAGAATAAAGTTAGAAACAGAGTATTTTTACCTATTAATATATAATTTTTAAACCTAACACAAGTCTATAACCATGACCTATTAGATTTCTTTTCTTTTTTTCTTTATCTTTCATCTTTGTATTTGTTTTTAGTATTAGTTTTTATTTTTTTTTAATATTCTCTTTTTAGTTTAGTATTAGTATTAGTAGCTTTTTTCTTTTTTCACTTTTCTATAAGAAGATATTATCAGATTGGTGATATTCTATTGTAGAGTGGTGGTCTGATAGTACCATTCTAAGAAAGATAATATTTCTTTTAAAACTTATCGTATTCATATAGATGTATCTGATTAGTATAGC